CCCTATCCCAAGAATTGCCAGTCCCAAAGCCTACGTTATTCTCGGGTCTGAGGTGGTTCTTGGACAGTTGCCCAAACCATCCGTTTTCCTTGTAAGCTGGGATCCCGCAGAAGATACTTTCTTAGCCTTGCTTGTCCTTAAGCGATTATCTAGTTCTTGCCTTGCCCCACACAGTACAATATTATCATTTTTTCCCCCTGGGGACCGTTCTGAGTGTGACACGTGAAAACTAAAGGCAGGACACTGTCACTGTAGACTAACCCTGTTTTTGGCAGAGAAGAAAAGGTTTTCTCTTTGTTGCTGCACTGTGATGGCCTTGTTTTTAGGGCCCTTAGACAGTCCTCGTGTGTCAAGTGGCTTAATTTGTTTTGGCTCCCTCCCTCTATACCTCCCTCCACGCATAAGTGTCTATCCACTGCCAGCTATAACTGTGCACGCATTTGATACTGCTTGTAAATCCTTGTAGCGCAAGAGGGCTCTTCAATTTTGCATTGTTTGTATGTACATTTTGCCTCCTCTGAAAGAATTTAAGAACAAGCAAGGTGTCTGACTACTTCGGATGTTGAAAAAAAAATAAAAAAAGAAATAATGACGTCCGGGCGTGGTGGCTCACGCCTGTAATCCTAGCACTCTGGGAGGCCGAGGCGGGAGGATCACTCAAGGTCAGAAGTTCAAGACCAGCCTGAGCAAGAGCAAGGCCCTGTCTCTACTAAAAATAGAAAGAAATTAGCTGGACAACTAAAAATATATAGAAAAAATTAGCCGAGCATGGTGCCACATGCCTGTAGTCCCAGCTATTGGGGAGGCTAAGGCAGAAGAATTGCTTGAGCCCAGGAGTAGTCTGAGGTTGCTATGAGCTAGGCTGACGCCATGGCACTCTAGCCCAGGCAGCAGGGTGAGACTCTGCCTCAAAAAAAAAAAAAAGCACATAAAAAGAATTTAAGAATTTTCAAGGAGTTTGGATATGTCAGGGGGAGATTCAAAATGGATTGTAGGGAAATACAAAACCACAGAAATTCACCACAGGATTTTACAAGGAAGCAAACAGATGAGCTTGGAGAAAATTCAGAAACCTTTTCAAAATAACCAGCTGAATGTCAGAAAGTCATATTTTGGAGAGCAATCTAGTTAGACAGGTGGCTTCTTCGTCATTGTTTTCTAACTGGACC